ACACGAAGTCCAATTGGTTTACTTCAACGACCAGCCACTTGTAATATCGTCTCCCTGAGGCAGCACCCGTTAGCACTGTTGAGCTCTTGTGTACGAACAAGGAATAATACTTATTTCACGTGGTGCGCCACGTCGCGATAGACACGTCTGACTTATTAAAAGGGAGAATGCTCTTATTGGCTCCCCATTCTCTTTTCTTCCGTATATCAGCCTACTGTCTGAGCATGTCAGTCAGCTGATGATCACAGTGGGCGCAGGGGTTGAATGAGTTAGGCAACCTATTTACACGTGTCCCGCACGACCTGGTCACCGAGTCCTCTGTCAAATAACACACTTCCAGTTCACAATAGATGTGCATGTCCCGACATATGACTTCGCGCTGGCCATACCGGTGGCTGCGAAGTACCCATTGCGACATTATCGTAGAGGAGTCGCTTGTGTAGAGGCTCTTCACCCATGCTTTACGCTGAAAGCCAAGTTGGCCACCAACATTGTAGGAACGTAGCGAACTTCTGAAGCACACTGTGTTATGACTTACGATTTCAGATTGATTTGGTCAAGTAGGGTAGGGCTGAAACTAGCACACTCCCATGCACCCCCGCACCTTGAATGATTGTTTTAAAAAAATCAGTCGTTAATCTTCAAGCCCTACATAAACTAGGCTGTCCAAGATTACGCGAGTTGAAGTACCCAAACCCCCCCCCTGAGCTCATATAACCTACTCTTAAGGCTTCGTACCCAGTGTAAACGCCCTAGTGGTAGTTGGCATCGTGCTTTCATGTAGGTTTTATGGCTTCCCCTGAGAGCTGTCCATGCAAATCACACAGTGGCAACGGTCACTTTTACTTGCTTGTTTGTTTCCTGTTCAAGGGCGTTTGACTTGCACTGACATTGGCTGCTGTCACATTGAATTAAAACAAGAATGCTTGTTTATTACGCGATGACCACACAAATGAGAGGCAGCAGATACCCCTTAGTCGCAAATTAGGGATGATAACTGTTTTGAACTGCTGCTGCTTTTAGCGAAGCGCATTGACAGAAGGGCCGTTAGACGAGGAGAATCGGTTAAATGGTGGTAATATACTGGTATAAGTGAAAATGTGAGAGAAGGATATACAGTCACTCGAATCCTATCTACCCAAGTATTCGAATTCCCAGCCAAACCCATATTTGCAAATACTGCAATCCTTGCTCATTTGTTATCCTTTTCTGGCATCAGGGGTTAGGATGTCAATCACGCCCAATTCACGCGCCAGACCATTGACCGGCTCGGACGGTGGCTGGGAACGCTAAAAGCCATGACTTGGAAGCTTGTCAACTGACGGGACAGCTCAGGCCGCACAGTCAGACCAGTGCGTGTGTAACGGGCACGCTAGGGGTATCCTTCTGCTCAGGAATAGACCCGTTCTTCACGGAATCACTTCCATCTACAGTCGAGCCTTGGGACTGTTGTTGTTCTTGATCGAGCGCCTGAAGTACCATAGTGACGTAAAGCTGTCCACAAACAATCACACACACAATGTGTAAGAATCTGTGTCGTACGAGAGTTTATTTAATCGAAATCGTGAACACACAACTACAACAATTCCTCCAGTTGAGAAAATAACCGATGTTCTCCAGACGCGTCCTCAACTCCACCAGCCTGGTTACTCCCCAGTGCTGAGTCACGCATTGCCTCCAGGACCGACACTAAAATTGAAAATTACAAAAGCGCATTACAACAAAAAGGGTCAGGTTGGTCTCTTACACGTGTTTGTGTGGAGTGGCGGACCGAGAGTCAGGCTGCAATGGTTCCTTCTTACTGCCACTGCCTGGGATCCCAGCCAGGTGGGACTGCGCGCTAAGGGGCAGCTACGACCGCGCCAGCCGTCTGCACCCTTTTCTGCCTCCGGTCTCCTTGACTTAATCATTACACCGTGACCAATTGGGTGGGGGGGGGAGAGAGAATGCGGTAGCTGCAGCACAAGTCTAATATCACTTAAAACAACCTTACCCACAAATCCCCGCGTTTGCCCTCAGCTTGCTGAAACACGCGCTGGGTATCGTCGGGCTCAAGGATCGAAATGTCGGATGTCAACCTATATTACTCATCAGACAAGTAAAATTAATCTTAAAGTTGCTGCGCCTCCCTCCCGTGCTGTTATAAGTCGAGCATTTTCTATTATTATTATTATTATTATGAAAATATGGCGCCTCCTATATTGGTTTATTTGCTCTTTAAATGTCAGATCAGTTCGTTTGAGAGTTCGTATCCGCTGGCGACTAGTAGTG